TTACAATTTGGCATAAATGAACCTTAAAGTTTATTTTTTACTTATTCCCTATTGAAGAGCCATGGTGGCGCAGTAGTTAAAATGCAGTACTGCAGACTACTGCTGCCTGTAGTTCGGCAGTTCAAATCTCACCAGTTCAAGGTTGACTCAGCCTTCCATCCTTCCAAGGTGGGTAAAATGAGGACCCAGATTGTTGGGGGCAATAGGCTGACTCTGTAAACCACTTAGAGAGTGCTGTCAAAACACTATGAAGCGGTATATGCTATTGCTATTTCTAGTTGTCCATTTAAAAGCTGCATCTGTGCTATATAAAAATAGGGAATTTAATTGTTGATTGTATTCCTTGCCCAAGAGGAGCTTATGCCAGTCACCACTGCTAAAGTCTTACAAACTACACAATTTCCTGCTTATGAAAGCTAAGTTTTCCTTTTATTGGCTTTTTAAAGTTTCTAAATGTATCATTTAGAAATAAAGAATTGAGTATTGGGCGCCTCTAGTTGAGACGTGTGAATTTGAATGTGATTGTACATTAAAAGCATAGTATAAGTTAGCTCTTGTACCTTGCATTACTTTCTTTTTTTATTTTAAAAAAACATACCTTCATTTCCTATCAATTAGATTATCAGGAATAACCAAACATGATTCAAAGGGGCTAAAAGTTATACGGTATGAAGCTGCTCATTGTGTACTACTTGCTTGCTTGAGTCGGTACTTTGAAGTAGTTTCCAGGCTATGATTAAAGTTCTGTATGTTTATAGAACACCACTTCCTACAGCCTAATTTTATCATGTGTTTACACATGCATGTACAGAGAATGTATGCATAAATCTATAAATAGTTTAATGGACGTTGGTGATAGGATAGGAGGAACTTGACATTTAATAGGTCACAGGGGGAGAATGCAAAATTAGCAGATTCAGTTCTCCCAACAGTGGACTGTGAGTGCATAGATACTAAGAACATTAATTCGAATCTAGGTTTGATGGGGGTGGGGGGAGAGAGATTTTTAGAAGTAGGAAAAAGCAAAATAGGGTTAAGACATTTACCAAACAAATTGCACTTGTTTGGCAAGCTGTAGATCAGAGTCCAAAGCTATTAATTCTTGCATAAGACATAGATCATACTGCACTAACCCACAAGTGAGGGATATAAACCACGGTGACTAAATTCATTTAACCCAAAACTAACCCAAGAGAAAACAAGACACATCATGCTTTGGCACAGTGCGTGAACCCAGCTGCTTTATATGTTGCAATGTACTTTATGCACTTTTGCTGCTGCAGTTTAAAAGAAAAAAATCAGGGGCGGGGGGGGGGGGGGGGGAGGCTTGTATGTCCCGAGCAAAAGTAGGCAGCCACAGTAGCAATGATGCCTGATAGATGCCTGTGTTGCTGGCTAAGAGGATAATTTGTACATAGGCTTTTTAAAATTTTCTAATTGCTATACGGTTAATGACATTTTAGTCTGTGCGTGTTATGTTTGTGTGCTTGCTTCATCATATTTTCATTTTTGTTCATTCTGCTATTTTAAATTCTCTAAGTTGCTCTGTTTTTTGTTAAGTGCTCTGTTGAGCACTCTCTCTCTTTTTGCCCCAAACTTAAATAATACTGGAATACCTGCCAGTGTTTTCCTGGAGTTCATGTGATTAAGTTGGTGCAGCTCAGAACCAGTTTAATCCTCTCCATACAAGGGGGCAGAATTGTAATAATCAGGATACATATTCTATTGTTCTGACAGCTCTGCTGATTGAAAGATAAGCCTATTAAGGATTATTTACTTGTTCAACCTGATATCCAGTTTACAGAGCAGTCCCTCCTTCAGCATTATTCACAAACAGGATTCCAGCGATGAGATTATGATGTGAGATTAGGGTATCAGATTTTGAGAATCAAAACGTAAGAAGGCTTATATAAATCCTGGCACGCAATGATAGTCTCAAACTTGGATGCTCTAAAAAGAGATGATGGGACAAATTTATGGAAAAGACTATTTTATGTACATGTGAGGATGGTTAACAATATATAAATTCATTTTTGATATTGTGCACTGACTTCTCAGACAGAGTAATATAAAGGTAAAGGTTCTCCTCACTAGTCANTAATAATAATAATAATAATAAGAAGAAGAAGAAGAAGAAGAAGAAGAAGAAGAAGAAGAAGAAGAAGAGCAGGAGGAGGAGGAGAGGAAGAAGAAGAAGGGGGGAGGAGAAGTAGTAGTTATCCATTCACTCTTGACTGACAAGAAATTCTATGGCCTGGCTTCTCCATGTTCTTCAGATGATATGTTGCATTTAGCTTTTAGAATCGAGGGAAACACAGAATGACAAGTCATATGAGGATGAGGAAAGGAAGAAGAAAAGGAGGAGGAGGAGGAGGAGGAGGAGGAGGAAAAGGAGTAGTAGATACCCACTGAGAAGGAACATCTCTCGGGGCCTGAATTCTGTGAAGTATCAGAAGTGAGCTGAGCACTCAGTCAACCCACCCAAGCTGCACATCATTCAGGAACGGGCAAAATAGAAAAAAAAAAAAAAACCCCACCACATAGAACCAACACATTTCAGCAGGGAGACACAACAGCTGCCACCGTTATTTGCCTGTCATTCTGGTCCACTCAAAAGATTTCTCAGACGGACCGGCTTATCATCCCTCTCTCCTGCCGCACACCCACTTCCCGTGCTCAAGTCCGCTTGTGAAGGGAGCTATTAACAAAGACACTTCTTCTCGCTAACAAAAGGGAGGGTGACAGCCAGCATAAAAAGAATAACATTGCTTATTAAGCTAGAATTAACTGCCCTCTTAGGAGCTAATTAAATTTGTTCTTGGAA